TATTAAACGTAACAAAGAATTTTAGTGTTATTATTATTTAAGTTTAATGATTAATTTTTGGGCACCATTAATAAAGTAAAAACTAAAATCGTAAATAAATTATTAAAGTAATAAAAATGATAAGTAACTACTCGTTAGCACAAATAATAGACACTTAACAGATTTTGTGTAATTTTCATTCGATTCTGTTATTGATTTAAGCTTAACGTTATCAAAGTAAATAATTCAGAAAAAAACATAAGAAGCTGGTTATGTTAATAGTCCCATGTCTAATTTTATCTTACGAACAGGTTTTCCTTTTAACAACATTATTTAAGTATTGAAAAGTGAGTTATTTTTTAATCTAGATATATCTTGTTAAACAGCTGTATTATTACGCTAACAAGCGAAGCACCTTGAATTCTTTTTAACGTCAGGGGTCAAATAAATTTAATTTTAAGATTTTTTGAATCGACCTATTTATACGAACGTTTTACGTGAAAGTTAATCAATGATTTAAGATTGGTGACCTTGAAAAAGAGAATAACGGAAGTGGATTTCGCATGTTACTTCCACTTCGCTTGAGCCCCCTTGCCGTACTGTCACGCTCCTTTCTCTTTACACTACCCAACACCACGCCACTACAGCACAGCACATTTTTTTAATGCTATTTTTTTAGTTTTTATTGAAGCAAGTCTTAGAAAACAATGAAACAAAAAAACTGACTGAAACCTCCAACCTCCTGCATACTAGCCAAGGCCCATACCTACTCTCAACCACTTCTTGTTATGGTGTGGTTAACAACCAATTTTTAAGAAAAATTGTTGCTGACTGAATATTAATAAATTTGCTCTGAATGTAATTAAAATAAGTAAATAAACTATCTGATTAACTAGTTTTTTACTAAAAATTTTTTTTTTGAAAACTCAGAAATCAGTTCATTATTTTAGCAGATCACCTTTTGAATTTTTTCTACAAATCCATTTTTTTTTTTTTTTTTTCGTACCGTTAATTTGTAATTCTTACACCAAACAAATAAAGTAGTTGACCCAGTAGTCGCTAATTATTAAAAAACACGATAATACACGATTGTCAAAGAAATTTGAGACCAGGAAAAAATTAATCAATTAAGAACAATTATTGAACAACAACTGTTTGAAAAATAGACGCTTATTCCTATGAAGTTTTACGTATAAAAAAAAAAAATTTAGTACAGGTGTCTCATAGAACGTGTCGAATATGACCTTTCTTAGCGTAGCCGCTAAGAAGTCAGCTATCATTATAACGCAAGTTTACCAATTTTTCTCTATGTTTTGAGACTCAAATAGTATTGATTAATTGGATCTTGTTAAAGTAAGCAAGATGAAAAAGGTGTTATCACGTTACATCACATATGATTAGTATTAATTGACTATCGGCTCATGGGTATGATTTTTTATTCATGAAGTAGTAGTGAATAATACTCACAAATGACAGGAATCACTACTGTTTATTGTATGATTTTAAATTTTTATTGTATAATGAATATTGCTTTGTCAAAATTGTATTTATGATTAAAAAATCTTATAAAAAAAGCTAGAATACTGAAAATCGTAACAAAACACTAACTTACTCTTACTTTTTAATTAGAAATCATGTAATATTCATGAAATAATAATGCAAATATTTCAGAATGACGTTATATAGACTCGTGAGAGAATTGAATTATGGACATAAACAAGTACTAAATTGAACATTATTACTTAACACTTCTTAATAAATTTTATTAAATAACTAGCAACTACTAGGTTTCAACCATTAACAACAACTGCTTCTAGCCAAAACGTCATTAGTGGCTACTGGGTTCTTCAATTCTTTATTTTGTCGATTTTTTATAAAAAACTTAAACGATTAACAATTTTTATTTTAGTTTTTTTTTGTACTCACTTATGCAAATTGTAAGTTGAAAAAACAAAAATCAACATTCCATGAACTTAGTTTTTTTAACAACATATTTTTTCTTACGCTAGTGGCCACTGGTTCCACTACCTTAAGTGATTTCACAAATTTTTTATTTTTCCTTAAATTTTCAAAAATTAAAAAAAAAATTTACTTGAACTTTTTAAAAACAATGATTAATTTTTATTATAAGATTAATTATTTTATACTTTTCTCGTTTGGGATTTAGATGTTTTTTTGACTTCATGATATTCATTGAATAGTAAGCAGGGTCAAGTTTAGAGAGGAGCGCAACTATGTAAAGCAATGATGGCAATCATTTTTTCCATACGAATGTAATTTTATACACGCTTCAACGCATATCTTACCACTTCTTTCTTGTATGAGTTACAAAACAATAGCTTATGGCCTTATTTTTTAGTTTTATAGGTTTATCTATAAGCTATCGTTTATCTAAAAAGAAATTAGAAGATTTTTGCTATCATATTGCAATTTTAAGCAATTTTTCCGTACAGTTATATGTGTTATTGCGTTTTTATTTTAATTAAACATACCAAAAAAGAATACAGTTGAACGATTTTTAATTTTTTGTAGGTACTTTAAATGCTTTATCAAATATACGTTTTATATTTGAATAATATCTGTTGAAAAAACCTATGGGTGATAAACGTATTGAAAGGACGTTTCCCGGCATTTAATACAATCATATTAGGGAAAGTGGTACTATAGGATGGTTTTCCTCAACCTACTGGGTACAAATATTTTTCGGGTATTTGATATAGCCTAGGAAAACTTATAAAATAGAAATTGAGCGTATGTGCCACATGAGAGCGTTACGTTAAAGGTGTAGGGCAGCCTGTATATTGTTTATAATGAATTTTGCAGTAACATATTGTTTTTGATCGTTCATTTATTAAACATTAAAATACTTGTTCAAGCTTCACCAAATTACCGTAGGGACACTTATTCCAACAGCAGTTGCTCTAGCTTTGTCAACAATATCTTTGGACAGAAAGTATATTTATACTTATAACAATATTGTCTGCCATACAGTTTTATGTACGTATGACTTTATACTTGGGTACGTAAGCGCAGACTGTTCCCTCGTTTTTTTTTTTTTTTACCTGTTGTTCACCCATTATTTAATTAAACACCTACACAAACACTGATTGTAGATTACTGATGAAATAAGTTTCACAAAAAAAATATGTTGACATTACTACACAAACACTATCGCAGCGCTGTGCGTTGTGTGTGACAGCTATCTTCGTGTATAGCCCAGGATAGTCAAGATAAAGATAAGACATGAACATATGTATAAATTTTGTTGAACTATGTTGATATTTTTTTTTTTTTTTTTTTTTTTACTATTTATTTTATTGATTTACCCCACGACTTTTTACCAATTAGACGTAAATACTTGAATATTTATTCTATGCTACGAGTTTGTTTTCGTTTTCTACTTTATCCAAGAGGCAAACTAATGGAATTCATACGTACGAATAATAACTATTGTATTGATTTTTATAACTGAGAGTAGTATTATCAATAAATTTATAACAAGATATGAAGATTCTCTACATTCACACATGACCTTCTTCACATATACATACAACCTTTTTTACCCAAATCCCTTTATTGACCAGCAGAATACTAAATAGTTTTGGCTTAGCCAGACAACGTAAGATCTTTGGCATCTTTCGCAAATACTACTAGTAAAGCTACCTGAATGTTGTAGGAACACTGTTAAGACTAAAATAAAATAACATATGAGTGAACCTCAATGTCTGTTCATGCGATATTCATCTTATGGTATACTTGGTATATTACAGTTAGTTAAGTCGTAACACTCAAAGCAAATACACTGAAAAACAATGTATGTGTTGACGAAGCCAAGAAAGACGGTTGCCTGTATAAGTTGTGTACAACTTTTCCGAAAGCTGAAAGTGCCAATGTCAGCAGTAAAAAATTAAATAAGCAAACTGTTGAAACGAGTGTTGGACATAGGCTACTGGCACATCCAAATCATAGAGATACTAGCAAACCCGTTTCGCCACCAGATGGCTTCGTTTTATGTAACATTTCGTTTGGCGATTAAAAGATAAAGAAAAAAAATTTTTTTTTTCATGTTTGAAAAGGAAGAATTTTAATTCATTTCACAACAGTAATGAATTCATTTCGATGACAAAAATGAAGTGTTATTTAGTTGAACTTCTCTAAGTAAATGAAAGTGAATCCAAAGTAAATACTGAATCGAAGCGTTATACGTGTCCGCAAATTATCCGTTTCATTGAAAGGCTCTTTGGTAAACCACATTTTTTGTTTTTTGGTCTGACGTTAACACAAACAAATTGAATGGTTTCCTAACTCGTGAACACGCAACATATAACTGCCCATGTGGAAAACAATGATTTTCTTAATTTATCTCGCAAACACTAAGCGATTGGCTTTGTGACTTGTTAATTGTCATTGCGAACGCAAGGTGAACTAGAAATTGCAGTCGTTTTAAGTCAAACGGAAGATCAGTCAGAATCATTGGTATTCGTGGAATACATTCATTTTCACCTGCTTCCTTTCCGTTAATAATGGTTGTCTCAATCAAATTTGGCATAAATCTTTTTTACCGAAAGTCAAGTACCGTTGCAAAGTCGCGGTGGATTCAAATTACGCAATATCATAATAACTGTACCAACTTTAAATTGCAAGTTATGTGGTGAAAATCCTGGTAACTCCCGAGAGTTCAAAAACTCCAATGAATAATTTACTACATCATCGGGATTTGTTATGGAATCAACGGATTTGTATGTCACCAAATCGCCAGAAATTTTTGATTGAATGGTGAAATTCAGTGCGTGGACATCATTATTCCTTGCAGCAATAATTGCTCGTTGACTTAATCAAGCATAATTTTGATAATCCTCACAAATGTTTGGGAAAACATTTTTCATAAAAGCTAATTGAGAGTCTGCAAATCGGCAAAAGTTGTTGGTAAGAGTAATTAATTCAGATGTCGCATCAACTGGGACTTTTCCATTTCCAACAGCTAACAATTGTTTAGAAAGTTGTGCAGCATTTTGATCATTTTAAAGTTGAACTCTCATATTAGTGGTTAGCGATAATGTTTTTAAGTTATTCCATAAAGGTGATGCCTTTAGGCAAGCATTCAATTCATCTGCAGGTGTTCCACGGGGAATTACTGGCAACTTTTGCCTGAAATTGCCTGCCAACAATATCATCAAGCCGCCAAAGATGTTGTTATTTCGCTGAAGATCCTTCAGTGTGAAGTTAAGTGCTTCAAGTGATTTCTTATGTGCCATTGTGCACTCATCCCAAATAATGAGCTTGCATTGCATCAAAAATTTTCCCATTGCACTGGATTGGGAAATATTGCATGTTGGAGTATCCATTCTGTTTACATTGAGTGGCAACTTAAGTGCCGAATGTGCAGTACGACCACCATCTAGAAGAGTCGCCGCAATTCCAGATGATGCTAACACCAAAGCTATGTCACATCTTGATCGAATAGTGGCCAAAATCAATGAAATGACAAATGTTTTCCCTGTTCCTCCAGGTGCGTCTAGGAAGAATAGATCACCAGTATTATTGTCCACCGCTTGCATTAATGCTTCGCATACTTGTTTTTGCTGTTCATTCAGCAATGGCACATTATTAAAAACGAATTCCTGAAATGTATCAACATTGTATTGCAGCTTTCAATGTAATTCTTGGTTGAATGCATCGTGCATCGATCGATCTGGCGCAATCATTCCTACTTGAATCAGTAGCTTGTTTGGAATAGTCAAGCATTGATCCTCAATCAGGATCAATACTTCATTGTAGATGTAATCGGTTATTTGGATGTCAGAATTATTCGTTTGAATGCGCAAGCGATGCAAGATACCTTCACATATGTCATCTTTGTATTTGTTCCATAACTGAATTGGTTGTGACGGAAAACAGGTTGTGGTGATGATAATTGCAAGCAGCTTTCGTATTTAGTACACATTTGATAAAACAACTGAATCTGCAAGTGTTACATCCCAATGAGAATCGTTCTCCAGCAAACCCAATAGTTGACGTGCTTCTCGATATGTTTGGCATTGGAGGCCATTCACAGTTTTCAAATGCGCAGATGATTTTGGTCCACGTGCATTTACCAACAGCAGTTGCAAATAGAAACATTCATCATTTCTAGGATGAACAGTATACATGCGACCTAGTGCATCAGTGAAAAACACCTGTGGCCAATATGGAACTGGGGTTCCTTGTTTGCGACGTTGGAATTTCTTTGTTGATTGATTCCAAATGTAATACTTGAGCATTTCAACGTACATCAGCGTCGCTGCGAATGGATCTGCTTCACACATTGCAAAGAAGCTAGTCAATGTTGTCGATGGTGGTCTCTCAGCTTGTTGTGCCACATTAGCCTCAGTGAAGTCAACTCTTTGGCCACTTTTCAAATGCACTGCTAAATGTACAACTGTGGGATATCTTTCATGAATTTGAAATGACAATAATCCACAGTGCTTCATTAGTACTGACGTATCTGCCTATTTAGAAGTTGCTAATTTCGTCACTCACATTTTCAACTGCAATACCAAACACAGCCATGTCACTACCTTTTGTGACGTACTTGCACAAATATTTGATTGATTTGGCCAAATGGCAACTCTCAAAATATTCATGTGCTTCAAAAATTCGTAATAGCAGCGGGCAATATGAAACAATGAATTCATTTCCGATCTCAATCTCTTGATTTTGAACTTTAACTTTGATAGTTCGACCATTATCTTCTTTTGAACACCAACGATAAACTGGATATCCATTGTTCCCTGTAACTGTTTCAGCAACTAACGGTCATGGATATCGTTTTGTGCACTTTCCATCAGCCATGCAAGGCGACAATGGATTTAATGCACCGCACGGTCCATGCACCATCTGTGTCGTCACAATGTCGTGTAGATGGGGATCAGTGACTGGATCAGAAATTTCAGCTGATATGATGTTATCCACTTCATTTAAATGTAATTTATTCAGCAACCAAATTAGGAAATCAGCATGCAGTAGTCCACGCTTCTGCCATTCCACTGAGTACATATAACAACGTGTGTCAACAAAAACCCGATACTTAGTAAGCACATCCATCATAACCTTCAGTTTTTGCTGAAATACTCTGGCGATTATGTCATGGCGATCTTGCGGTTTTCGGCCCGGTTCCAACTCACGTTCAATTTCTGTCCACTTCGGATTGCATGTAAACGTAATAAATAAATCCGGAGTTCCATGATTTTGCACGAACGTCATAGTGTCTTGAGCGTATTCGTGCATGTGGCGTGGGCTTCTGATATAAGATAATGGGAGAATCGTCAGACATCGAATATTCTAAACATCACCATCTGAATGAACAGCATCACGCAAGCGTATATATTCCTCAGATCGTAGCTTTGCCTTATTAAATCGGATGAATGCTAAACGTTCGATCTCGACTTTGTCATACATGTCGACAGCGAATTGCTGGAATAGCCGACGGCACTTCAGAATGACATTCTCCTCATGTGTACGAATCATCATACGATATGCATAGTAATTCATTGCGCTTAGATTTTTATTCGTTGATACGCCTGAAAATGCAAAATTAAATGAATTGTTAATGAAAACCAATAATAGCAATGATAGCAATAATTAGTGTGTGAGTATTGTACCTGTAATTGGATCGACCATCTTCAACGTGATGTCGTATCTGTCTTGCCCTTGTCAATAAATAATTGGATATTGTAACGCATCGTACGAACGATGTGTCTCGTTTACACGATGCATAATATTGCTTCTTTGCTGAACGAAAATGTCTTGCAATTTAGTTGGATCGCTAGCAATAATTGCAGCAACATCGTTAACGGTGGGTACATTGAATCTTCGCACATGTTCACCTGTTGGGGTACAATCCTCTCTGATGACAAATTTGTGCGTATCCGATGGCATTCGTTCCAATGCTAATTTGAACATATTAACCACAGCATTACTGGCGTGAAAAAATGCTTGCAACTGTTCAATAATTCGTCTCTGTAACTGTTGTGTTCCCTGTATATTGCATAGCACATTCAGCTGATCCAGCGTCGACGAAATGAAATATATTTGTAGAAATTGACGAGTTTCATCTGGTGTTGGCACCATTGAACCATGCAAATGATATATTTGTCCTTGTATCTGTAATTGCAAACAATTATTTGTTGAAGAATACGGTGTAACTTCTGATCGTGTGATGGAGTAGTGTGTGGTGTACATGTAGTTGTTATGTGTTGCAATTCATTGTGTTGGTGTGAGTGATTGGTTATGTGTGTTGTATCTTTTACCTTGCAAGTTAGCATGAAGCCGCCTTCTTGAATGATATTAGCTGCAGAAGAAGTCATGCAAAAGCAGTTATTGTATTCAAGGATGTGTTGAAGAAAATGGCTAGAATCGGGATCACTTCCATCGAACAATAGTTTCAGTGGCTGTGGTGGTGTGAGTAATGGATCCAGTTTGACTTTTCTACTTGTACAGCACAATCCAGCCGTTTCTCTTTTGAGCTTTAACGCATTGCAATATTGGCATATAGTCGTCATTGGTCCAATATCTAAATTTTTATCATCACTCTGGTTTGCAGTGGGATCATATTGTAATGCCAAGTGATTGTATGATGCCAATGATCTTCGTGTGCTCATGCGTTATCTTAATCGGGTATTTTCTCTTATTATATTTTGTCTGTCTTCGCTTAAGTTCTGTGAATGCACTCGTTGTTGGCTTGCATGTCTTGTGCGGTGGCTGATGTTTGCACGTCGTCCTCTAGGCATTTTGGACTATGAACAGAGTGGTGAATTAAACCTTAAATGCACGATCCACATAATTAACCAATCAGCTCCAACATAATTAATCAGCTCAACGAGCGCATCAAGCGGCTTCGTGCGGACAACGACCTTATTAATACAAGCAGAGAGAGGTAAGATTTCCTCAATACTTTAGGTATTATTTTTGATCCGTCGTGCCCCTATACAGCCAGACAAAGTTGAGTTTTTAAAAGAAAAAATTCCACAATTATTGAAAAAGCGAGAGCGATTTTGAAGGAGGCGTTCTTAGATAATAAATTTTGGGCTAAAGCAGCGTAAGCGGCAAATTATGTAATCAACAGGTGGCCTACGAGAAGTATTGACAAGCGTATCCCCTTTGAACTTGGATTAGGTAAAAAGCCAAACCTGGCGTATTTACGAATTTTTGGATGTGTTGCAATAGTACACGTACCAAAACAAAACCGGCGAAAATAAGATGACAAATCAATCAGATCAATTTTTGTCGGTTACAGTGAAAGTTAAACAGACTTGAGACTATCATTCTTTGAAAAACAAAGTAATAGAGAGCAGAAATGTTGTTTTTTTTTAAAGACAAATTTTTTAATGATTCTCCTCGTAATACAGGATTTATCTCTTTTTTGTCTGATTCTGTTTGTACGCCATCAAGTGTTCCTGTAGGATAAGTTGCAGATATGGAGTCGAGCGAATAAGAAGGTGAAAAGGCAAAAGAATAGGAAGGGAGTTGAAATCAAGAGTTGTCAGACGAGCTGTGCAATACCAAATCAGGCGAAGATACCGTATTAGGCAATGATGCGGAAAACGATGAACTGAGAGATGAACAAATTATAGAGAACGTTAGTAGAACACCAAGAAGATTGGAAAGAGTTATAAAATTACCTAATTTAATGATTTCATTTTATACTTGTCAATTTTGGGAACTGATGAAATGGAGCCAAACAATTTCATGGAAGCTCTTATGTCGCACCAAGAGGATAAGTGGATGCAAACCATGCACAAAGAAAATCAAGCAACGATTAAAACAACACTTACTCATAGTGTGATTTGCTTGAAAGAAAAAAAAAATGATCAAACTAAAGTGAGTATATAAAATTACGAGACATGAAATGATAAGATCACAAGCTACAAAGCTCACATAGTCGGTCTGGGATTTATGCAGATTATTAATGAAGATGACAGTAAAACTTTCTCACCGGTGGTCAGATACTCAACTTTAAGGTTCTGACTGGGTCTTGTAGCACATGAAGGGTATCAAATTTTCTTATATTAATATGGAAAGCAGTTTTCCATATGGTAAACTACAAGAAGAAGTATACGCTCAACAATTTGAACTTTTAGTGAGTGGTTATTATCCGAACAAAGTGTTAAAATTAAATAAAGCACTGTATGGCTTGAAACAAAGTTCTCAAATGTGGAACGGGAAGCTTACTAAATTCTTGTAAGTTCGGGTTTTAGTCAATGTAAAGCTGGTTCGCATGTTTACATCTACAAAGAACAGAATGTCACTTTAATTCTAGCCCTTTACGTTGATGATCAAATGATTGTCACGAACAGTTCTGATCTGAAAAACAAACTTGTATAACAATTAGAAGGGTATTTTGTGCTCAACGATCTTCAAAAAATCAAGTATTTTTTTAACATAAAGTTTGACGTGCAAAAGCTAGCAGATACGGTCACAATCAGTCAAGAAAACTACATTGACAAAGTCTTGCGAGAATTCAAAATGGAAGAGAGCAACGCGAAGCTTGTCCCCATGCAACTTAAAAAGTAAAAAGACAAGCTAGAACAGCAGGTAGCACTAAGTTCACCGGATTCATCAGATTTACCATTTCAAGTGGCTGTTGGATGTGCATTGTACTTGAGTCAAGTAAGCAGGCCAGATGTTTGTCAGACGGTATGCAGGTTGAGTCGGTATAATCAAAAGCCACTCAAGATACACGTTGCAGAGGTCAAATATTTATTCAAGTATCCAAAAGGCCCTAAGAGTCTGAGGATTTCATTTAAGAAAGCTGAGCCAAATTAATTGTTTTGATATGTTGATGCTGATTGGGTGAGTAACGTCAAAGATCGAAAGTCAGTCACAAGCTATGCGTTTATTTATCAACGAGGACCCTTATCTTGGGCTATCAAGAAGCAATCTATGGTATCAATTTCGTCATGCTAATCAAAATATTACGCATTATCATCAGCTGTACAAGAAATCTTGTGATTGTGACATTTAATAAGTAAAATGGACCCGAAACTAGTTGTAAAACCAGCGCGGCGGTATACCGCTTTTGCCATGCCGGGTTCTGGACTATGGCAGTTCACGCGCATGCCCTGTGGATTGACCAATGCGCCAATGACGTTTCAAAGACTGATAGACGCACTTGTTGGACCAGAGCTTCAACCGAACATTTTTGGACACTTGAACGACATAGTCGTCAAGACCAATACATTTAAGGACCATCTGTACTATCTGGAGCTAGTGTTGACGTGACTGAGGGAGGCAGGACTGGAGATTAAGCTTGCAAAATGCGAGTTCTGCGTATCGCAGATCACATACCTTGGATTTATATTGGACAAGGAGGGACTTTGGCCAGACCCAGATAAGGTGGCGCCGATCTTCGACTACCCGGCACCTATTAATCTGAGACAATTACGCCGATTTCTTAGTATGGTAGGGTGGTACGCGAGATTTATTAAGGGGGACTCTGACCTTAAGATCCCGCTAGTAAAACTGCTTCGTAAGGGTCAAGGGTGGACTTGGGTGGACCAGCAGCAACAGGCATTCGAAAAACTCTGGATATCTCTCACTACGGCTCCCGTGTTAGCCCGACCTGACTTCAATAGACCCTCCACTGTGCAGACTGACGCGAGTAGCCACGCTCTTGGGGCCGTGCTTACCCAAGAGGTAGACGATGGGGAACATCCGATTGTGTACATGAGTTGGGCTCTGACCCAAGTGGAGAAGAATTACTCAATGACGGAGAAAGAATGTTTGGCCGTTGTGTGGGCTTTCAAAAAGCTCAGATCATATTTAGAGGGGTATGAATTCACCATCATTACGGACCACAGTGCACTCAAGTGGTTATTCAAAATGCCTGAGCCCTCTGGGCGTGTGGCCTGGTGGAAAATGGAACTCCAACAGTGGACGTTCAAGAGCTTTCACCGGAGAGGCGCGTTAAATGAGGTGCCAGACGCCCTATCTCGGTTATACGGGGACGAGCGAGACGAAATTTCTGCCGTAACCTTAGCAGTTATCGAAGATCCATGGTATCTACGAATGCTAGAGGATGTGACTCAGTTCCCGGTAAAATATCGGAACTGGATGATAGAGGATGGGCGACTCTATAGATTCCGTAACGATCCTCAATTGGACCCAATAATTTTTAGAGAGAAAGGTTGGAGGCTCGTAGTTCCTCTGGAGTACCGCGAACAAGTGATGGGGGAGGCTCACTGCCCGCCCTCCATGGGACACCT